GAATCTATCCAACTGATTATGCCGCATGTTCCTCTCTTAGCCCAGATGTGTTTGTCGACTTCTTCGATTGTTTCGCTGTTTAGTATTATCTGGGCCCTCAGCAAGGAATTCAGTCGCAGTATCTTTATTATTAACCGCATTAACTGACCGTCCTAACAGATGTCTTCACTTTCCTGTAGAGTTCATTACATCACGTAATTGATTGGCATTTTCCGCAAATAGCACCATGTCATCAGTTAACCTTAAATGGGTGAGCTATTCACCATTGTTGCGAGTTCCACCTTCCAAGCTTATCCTCCAGAACACCGTTTCCAAACGGGTAGTAAAGAGTTTGGGAGCGATGGTGTCCCGTTGTTTCACGCCATCTCTACTGGAATCCGGACGGCGTGTCGAACAGCGTAATGTTTGTGAATCGACCTGAGTTTCTTTCCTCTAGCTGGGTGATGTAACGAGTGTTGATGTCATGTTCTGCCATACAGTTCACACTGCGTTGTATTCAATAACTTTCTCGTATTCACCTCACACAGAGGGTGTTTGTATTCCCTCGCTGAATTGAGGCAGAAGCTGCCCGTTGTTCTTTAGCTTCTTCAGAATCCTGCATGCTCTCATGGCTGCTGTTTGTCAACACATGTTGATGTCTGCTGGTGATGATCTTAAGTAACAGTTTGTAGACTTGTAGATTAAGCAGCTTGGGTGATAGTTCTAATTTTCCTTTTAGTCCTTTTTGAACAGCACGATTGTTTTTAGCTCGTTTCTGCTTTTAATTCCTTTGACTCCTCCCATGATATCTTCATACGTTTCCAGATAGGAACTGAGCTTCTGTGCTAGAGCCCTCCACAACGTCGGACCACATGCTCTGTTCATTTCATTGTCAGACCAACTCTTCCTGGGGCTCTTCCTTCGTTCATTTGCTGCGCAATATGCCAAACTTCCCGGTATGAAAACCTCCGGAAATGTATTTCCTTTTGTTTGTTAGAATGACTGTGGGGAGACGCGTGTTTTGACGCAAAGAGTTGGGTGTACACTTTATTGAGACAGAGTACATCTGAGCTGTTAGACGTTATTGCGCCATGTCCGCTGTTCAGTTCTATGATGGTTGACTGGTTAAGTTGCTAACTTGCTACATCGTGTGAGGCTCCTTCGGTCTTCAGCTGTTTTGTATAATTTTATCTATCTTGTCGAAATCTTCGTCCACCTTCCGTCTAATGAACTTGCAGAAAAAAAATGTTTCGGTAGCATGCTATATATTGCAGTATTAATATTGATTGTACATATTGTACGTTTCGCGTCCTATCAGTAGTGTAAATAATTAGATGAGATCACAGAGGATGTCCATGCTTGCGACATTATTGTATATCATTATATTATTAAATCACATTAAATGGAGCATAGCTCTTGCAGTCCCGGATTTCACGACGGCAGTGCCTTTTTGCTCCTAATTGCCTGGGATGCCAGTGAAGCGGGCCACGGTTTCATGGAGTTTGAGCACCTGCAAGTCCCGCATTATATTATTCGCTAGCCTCACCTCACGCTCACCACGAACACTATTTCAGGAGCTGACACTCCTGATATGCTAACACATAAATCACGTGTTGATAGCTTGCCTGTGTGATGCAGTGCACTCATAATTCACTACCTATCGGGGTAACAGTTGGACCTGTAACGATGTCAGCTGTTGCTCTACCATGTGAACTCTTCTTGGTCAACAATAGAGTGAAACATGCACACTAAAGGAATCACGATTGTACCGTTTGCATTTTTTGCTAATAAATCATATGAGTAATCTTCTGTTATCACTGAAGCCGATTTCACGGTGTTGCGGTACCGCACCTTGTTCTTCACTGTTCAGGGGACCATTTCAGCAAGGCACAGCTTTATGGTATAAATGACAAATTATATTATTGAAGCAAAAATTCGACGTTTAATGCTTTCATCCAACTGGATCGATGTCGAAGTAGTGGAAGTCTGTTTCTAACTCTGTATTTGCCTACCTCATCTGCCAGGATTTTCTCCTATTAATTTAATAAAATACTTTTAGAAATTGTTTGAACAGTCTTTTTTTTTAAAATGCGACTCCACTTAATCCCTAAGTACCGTGAGATTTAACAATTTTGTTGCTATCAACGATCTCTGTTTACCGCATATCCGTATAAAATTGGATTTTGCTTTCTGGCGTCTTCGGGAGCAGTGAAATTTGTGAATAGAACTCGCTTAAGGACAGAAGGGAGCAGAACGAATTCTGGCCATCCGTTTCGCTTAGCTTCACTCCTCTTCCGAAAGCGCGTAGTCTTGTTCTTTTTCTAATTTTTTTTCAAACATTTCTGTTTAGATTTTGCTGTTTAGCACCCATCTCATTTTTACAAAATTTTCTTTATACAATCATTTCATTTTGTAAATTTTAATTTAGCTTTGTTTCTTTCACACGTGAAATAAAATACAGATTTTTCAAGGATTAATGTATTTCAGATAAATTTATAAGATGTGTGCTGTTACTGTGAATTTCATATTCGTGTGTTCATTTAATTCATATGATTTAATTTCAGCTTAATTTTATTTCAGACGCATAAAACTGAAAATTTGACGAAATATTATTTGTATATCTTTGAAAGCGAGTTGTCTGTGGATAGCGAATTAACATCCGAAATATTGGTTCAACCTACCATATGGTATTAAAATGATAAGGGTTGGCTGTACTGACTTCTACGTCTTTATCTCCGAGATATTCAGGACTAAGTTTATGTTCATATCAGTAGTTGTTGATTGCAGCTGACAGTTGTTTCATGTTGAAGACTATAGACTGTATGCCGTTATGCCGTCCCGGAAGTTGTCGGTTGATGCCATGGTTGCGCCACTCTGTCACACTACATTAAACAAATGGATGTGAATTGTAACTTTCCTGTTGACATGATGAAGTACGTGAATGATACGTTTCTGAGATGCTTTTAATCATTATTTGACAGAATTTGTGCAGCAACTCGTGGGATCACAGTTTCAGTACTGTCTTGCTTTTTCTGTCTTTATGCAGGTTAATTTTACAATCAAGTTTGATATACAGCCGGCATCGGGCTTTAAACCGATATGTTGACAAATCGTTTTACCTCTACACAGACCGCTGGACGATTTTTTGGATTAGTCCCTATACGTTTCCGGTCATATTTCAGGGCTTCGGTAACAAAAATATTACTTTAAAATTGAGAAAGGCAGAGATTAGTCGCTGCAACTCACTTGATTCCAGGCGCATTACGTGTCATTTGGCTGACCTACTTATGTATCGACCTGTTTGTTAATATTGTAACTGGAATCCAGTGAATTGCGCTGTGACGATTTTCGATGCTTCCTGAGTTTTACTACTTTCGTCAGAGTTGTAAAGTTCGGAAACATTATTACATTTAGAGGTCAACTTGCATGGTTCAGATCAGGTCCCCGTTTTGTACTGATGATCAGGATTTTCCATAACAGGTGGAAATGCCCTTCAAATTGAACATTATATCGTTATGCTGTCTCCGCAAGAAACTCGCAAACCAATCATTTCTTTTCGAATTTTTATGGCGGATCTATGAAGCTTAGCTCGTGCCGCACGTTTGATAATTAATACGGGGCTGAAACTGAATGTACCTTAAGATTTTGGTTGCATTGCAAGTTGTGACTCGTCACACTTGCGCATGACATTGAATGAGTTCATTGCGGCATTGCCTTCGATATGCGAGTGACTTCGGGAGCTACGCAAGTTTTGGCAAGCATCGTAATGGCTGCTCGTATCTCAGCTGTCTTGCTGGTCTGTTCAGCACCAGATTTCTATGCTTGTCTGTTAGTTACTTTCTTATATCAAATGGCTGGAGATATTTTTGCTCGTTTTAGTTTGGACCTCTGTTAATCAAAGGGTTCGTCGTTTTGAAATACCTCATTTTTCGTTTTAAACTTATATTTGGAGATACTGTACATATTCGTTTTCAAAGAGTGATGTCTGAAACCACGTGTCGTGCGGTTTCCTCTCTGAATAGGGCAGATAAAGTTGACCGCAACCGGACTAAAATGATTATAATATTAACTGAATTAATATGAATGAGTGAATTGATTAATGTTTTTAGTTGCTTGATCTACTTGCTTAGTTTATATTCTGCGTCGTCTAGATAATCATAATCTTTTCGGTATCAGTTGGTGGGATTTCATCATCAGTATCGAACGGAAAGGTAAGGTCATGCATCATATGGCAAATTATGGTGTTGCAAGAAGGAATGGTCCCTTTGAAACGGACGAACATCCTCTAGAAGAGGCACTAGACTAAGGCTCCACTTATTTGGGGAAAATTCCGTTGAAGATTTGACTAGCAACGGTTGTGAACACATTCGTTTTGCATTCACGGGTTATTCTTCGCATTGGTGAGTTTATCTGAGCTATCCTTGTTTTTCTATGTATTTTTGATTCAACGACAAAAGTTATTACTTCTCAGGGTGTTTATATTCTTGTAGGTATGCGCATTGATGGCTCCTTGAAAAACTGCACTACGAAGAAAATTGCATAGGTTCACGTGAACTTACGGAAACTTATGGTTATTTACTTAAAATATATCGATACCGGTTTGAGACGGCGAGTATTATGATTATTTATATTTCTGTATCGTTGGCATTTCTGTATTGAGGACAAAGTTAAGAAACTTTGCATCTACCCCCTACTTCAGATGGATGCCTTCTATACTTTATCTCATTATCCATTGCTGTTAGAATAGCAAATTACACCGACCGATCGCCTGGCGACTTCGACGTAATGTAACGTGTATAGTTGTGTCGTCGCATCGAATTGCAATACTTTGTTCCTACGGTCAGCCCAAAGCACTAAGATATGTGGTCCACTTTTATGGGTTATCAGAGGCGACGCAATTTTTTCGGTCAGCGCCGCGTTGCCGACGACAACGCATGTTAATAGTTTTCGGCGATCGCCACCCAGTGACCAGTCTGACGTATGCGGCATGTACATTCCTGCATTTCGACTCTCGTCGTGTTCTGTACGAATGGCGCCGAATTCCGACAGGGTCCAGGTCGTAGGCCACCTGTGCTTTACTCTTCATCGATGTCTTGCTACGACAGCTGTGGTCGGCTGCCAACTTCGACATGTTACGACCTGCAGCTTTCGGCCGACCGTGCTCTCCTAAGTGGCTCCGCCTTCGGCTAGTTAGTTGGATCTGCGAGGTATTCGTATCAGCAAAATATTGAACGAGTCCAGTGTGCCATAACCGTTTCTTTCTTTTTTGGTGAACTCAGTTAGGTTAGTTATAAAGTGATGTGGTGCCGGAAGAGCGAAATTGAGCAACTTCGCTGGTATATTAGTGTTAACGCTTCTTTTGTGTTATCATCTTCGTTCTTCGAAACTATAAAAAATGATCACCTTTTCATTCGAGTCTCTTCTGATTCGCCTCGCCTAGTCGCACGTTTCGGTTTAGAGTACCTTTTAATCAGCTGAAAGTTTCATAGTATTATAAAACGGGCAGTGATGGATGCAGATGTATGTGTAAAACTGGTTTTCGCTATTAAAGCTAGAATATCGTAGGTGTTTCGTTTTGTCAAGCCTTTTTAATAAGCTTTATTAAATATAGTTGCGAATAACAAAAGCTCCGGTTTTAGCCTGAGACTTTAAGATCGGTTCTTGACTGTCTAAGTCCGTCGATCATCTAATGTCTTTTCCCCTTTTATAAGCTTTTTTTCGTAAGACAAAGTCATCTGGAAAATGATGGTCTTTTAAGATCGTGTCCATTAGTTTATGTGAATGCAAACGGGAGATTAGAACTACAACGCATGTATAGACCAAACCAGTTATCTACACGAGGTGTGTGCCTACAAGATAGGACAAGTCGATGAAATGACAATCAACGTACTTGGACAGGCGTTCCAAATTGTGCTAAGCAACGTCTTTCCTAAGCCTAAGCGCAAAAGTGTTGTTGCTTTTTTCAGTAGTTACTGAGTTTCTTCAGTAGTTTAATTTAGAATGGCTATGTTGTAATTGCCATTTGATGGACCACAGCCGATAACGCACAAAATTTTTGATAATTTATGGTACTGATCCCGACAATGTATCCACAGCTGCGACTATACTTCTGCTGTGTTCCTCGTTTAACATAATCGCTGAGTAGCTCCGCAGATATACAAAGTGTGAATTTGGCTGATACCCGTCTTGGTCTGTCTAACTTGTCTTTAGTTATATGACAAAGATGATACATCGAATTGGATCATTCGAATCTGTTTATGTTCTTTCAAGGAACAGGTGCGCAACCACGGCAGGTAACTGCCTATAGATGTTGTCGATTTCATGCCAGGAATGATTGTTTTTTGATTTCATGCAGTGGCTTGACTGGTTAAAATGGAAAATTTGATATGGTGTGGCTACTTGATGTGTAAACGATTTTGCCAGAAATTCGATGAATAACAGAACACGGCCGAAAAGGCGTGGAGAATTTCTAGTAAGCACCAAATGCTAGAGAAGAGTCTTAAGCTAATAGCAGCTGCAAAGCAAATTCATAATCTACTAAGTAGGATACTGAGTCTGTCACTGGTCGCTTTCCAGGGGGCTTTGCGAACAGGCGTCTTTGGCGAATATCGTCTTCTGAATGTTGAATATTGCTATCGCGGTCACACGATCAGCCAGAGAAGGAATAACTCACAGGTGATTGTATTCTGGTTATCGTATTTTAAATTTTTTCTAGCCCCATTGCTCCATCTTCCCTGCACATTAACTTCTATTCTAATTTTTTTGCCATGTCACCTTTTCTGTCTTATCTCTTGCAACAAAATCTTTATATTTTTCTTTAGCATACGTAGTAATACTTGTTTTATTTAT